AACCACCTGGACATCTAGTAAATTCCATGAATCCAGAAATCATGATCAATTCATATTTTTTGATGAAAACCGTAATCGAAGATCACATACCATGTTGCCTTGGTTCATAAACCAATAAATCAGTACTTTTGTTAAAACTCATTTCAAATATATAAAATCGTCATGTAGTACATATAGAACACACTAGAGGATCAAAGTATTTATTAGATATTATTCAGAGATACTAGATAATCTTATTGGGCAGAGAAACACGGATCTTCAGTATACCGATAGAATGCCAGAAGATAGAATCACTATCGAAAGAGTTCATCCAATGACAGAATCATCAGTTATTCAGAATGTGATTTGAGCTGATAAAGAAGAAACGAAGATTCAGAACATTTACAATCTATGTCAATTGATCGGATTATCGAACAACTCCCATAACGGATCCTTGTTCATTGGTCAATTCATTGTCCTTCTCGAGTATTTACTCTTTAATACGAAAAATTCTTGCCCATAGATCATCTTCAAAATCATCGCTGAATAGATCTTCCAATGATCTTTATTTCATTTCCCTAATTCAATGATATAAGGAAATGTTGATGTACTTATTTTATGGATCATGACCCATAAAGACAATACATCATTTAAGTTCATTAGCTTTTCCAGACTCATCCAAATCAATTATTTAATCCTCAGTCATTGAGGTTACTTAGTTCATTTAGCAATCAAGTCTATCTCGGTTACTTTAGAGTTTTCAAGAGTAATTCAGACATTTCTGAATTTCGGATACATATTGTACTTTCGTTCAGTTCAATTTGGTATTCATGGTTTATTTATCTAACAAATATCCACTTCTTAGTACCAAATGCTCTCTAAAGTTGAGCTGAGTACTTCCAGAATTATCATCGATCCAAACTTGAGGAGATGAACAAGTATTCAAGTAGTATCTATGCCATTCAGGTACTGATATATCACTAGTGTTGGTTTACAGGCTTAATATGTGTTCCATAACTTTTAAGAGCAGTACAACATCCATGTTTATTTGATTTCTTAATTAATCCAAGACATTTACTTATTCTAGGCCATAAGGATATTTTGGTAATTTTGGTGCTCAATATTAATCCAGTCATTTTAGAGATTGAAGATATTCAATCATTCTTGGGCATGGTGATATTCTTGATTCATTTCCATTCCAGGGATATTTTGGTTTTACAGTTCAAGGGTACTCAATTATTTTCTTCGATTCAAACATATGCATCATTCTATCAATTTATTTATTAGGTAATTTTGTCCAGAAATCACAATTTCTAAATCTTTCTCTATCTTGGGTTTAGAAATTGATTATCCAAAATTTCTAGACAAAAAACATTTTCTATGCACATCAGTAATTTTATCAGATCAATATGTCTTTTCAAAGCTAATATTCAACTTCCAGGGACAATCATTGTCTTTTTACAACATAAGGGTTTTTTTTGTAATTTCACCTAACTGAAGTATTCTCATCCAAGTACCTTTGGTATTTAACCTTTAATGATATAATTTATAATTTACATATCCATGGCTGATTCCTTTATCACTTAATCCCAGAATATGTAATTTAATTTCAACTATCCTCCAATTTCTTATATAAGTCATCTAAGCCATAATTAGTTACCTACTTTTTACCACATTCATATCGAGTGTAGGAATTAATTATCTATCCAGATAAAACCAAACGTTTTCATTCATGCATTTACCAATACCAATATTTTCCATAAAGCATGAAAAGGTAGTAATGTATTACCTTGATTTCTGTACCATATCGATAGATTATTTAAACTCCATTCGAACACCCTTGATCTTAAAATCAATGTCCAATAATTTTTCAAATACATATCAATAGAAATTTCATAAAAAATTGAGCTTAATTACTAAAGACGGATTGAATCAGGTGATCAATATGTGAAAAACAACTTATCGGCTTCAAAATTTGGAAAACGATCTTCAAAATCGGACTCAGGACGTCGAAAAACATAAAATAATACTTTTCAAAAATTTTGCCTATCCAATTGTTACAATATCGAAGAGAAAAAAGATGGACACTCATGGTATCATGACATCCTACAATACATCAAGTATCAAATTAGGCTAAGCAAGCGACTAAGAATGATAAAAGAACAATTAGAAGAATAGCTACAAGATACATTCTTAATGGAGATATTTTATATAAGAAAACTCAATATCAAATTTTAATGAGGTGTGTGGATGCTAAAGTAGCCAAGATGATCCTTGAGGAAGTGCATGGAGTGTACGACACTTATGCAAATGGACTTATAATGGCAAGGCAGATAATGAGGTCTGGATTTTATTGGTCAACAATGGAAGATGATTGTGTCACTTATGCCAAGAAGTGTCATAAATGCCAAATTTATGGTGATAAAATTCACGTTCCTTCTCGTCCTTTGGATGTGATGATTGCTCTGTGACCTTTCTCTATGTGGGGCATGAATGTGATTGGAAAAATTACACCAAAAGCTTCTAATGGTCATCGCTTCATCTTTTTGGCAATAGACTACTTCACCAAATGGGTAGAGGCAATGCCTAATGCAAATATCACACTATCAACTATTTGTAGATTCATAAAGAAATAGATCATTTGTCGATACGGGATTCCTGAGAGAAACATCACATATAATACTCTAAATTGGAACAACAAGATGATGAAAGCTGTGTGTGAGTAACTCAAAATAAAACACCATAATTCCACCACTTATCGACAAAAATGAATACAACAGTAGAAGCGACAAACAAGAACATCAAGAAGATCATAAGAAAGATGACTAACATATACAGAGACTGTCACGAGAAGGTAACATTTGCTTTACTTATCGAACTTCAATACGAACTTCAATTGGGCAACACTATTTTCCCTAGTGTATGGAATAGAGGTTGTGTTCTCTGTTGAAGTAAAGATTCCATCTCTTTGGGTATCATTAGAGGTGAAATTAGATGAGGCAGAATGGTTCCAAGCAAGTTATTACTAGTTAAATCTAATTGAGGATAAAAGATTAAAGGCCATTTGTCATGGCCAAATGTACCAGAAGTGTATGAAGCGAGCCTCTGATAAATAGGTTCACCTACGAGAATTTCATGAGGGAGACTTGGTGCTTGAAAATAATTTTGAGGAAAATATATGCCAAATTGGGAAGAACCTTATGTCGTGAATAAAGCATTTTCTAAAGGAGTGTTAATTATTACAAAAATATATAAACCATAATTACCTAATCTAGTGAACTCTGATGCTGTGAAAAATATTTTGCTTGAAGAATAAAAAAGGAAAGAGAAAAAATGAAAGAAATGAAAGAAAAATAAAAGAAAAACAAAAACAAAAACAAAGAAAAAGAAAAAAATGTTCAAGATGAAAACTCGTAAAGATCGTCTTCAAACCAAATGAGATCTCAAGTTGAAAACCCAAAAAGGGAGACTTGAGTTCTAGTTTAAAATCTGGATATGTGCATGGATTGATAGGTTAATAGGAAATTAAGGTTCTGCAATCTGTATAGACATTGGGTGGAATGACAACTTCACTTGATGATTGGTGTTAAATCGGTGAAATTAAAAATAAAGTAAATTGAGTATATATAACATTTAATCTTGCTTCTTAAGAAATTTAGCAGTCCAGAGGGAATTTCACACCCTAAAAGCACTATCACAATTCTCGAGGTCCTTTTGTTAGAAGCTATGCCCAAATTATTCCACAGTGTGTCAGCTCAAAGCTATTCTTACTATTGATATTTGGGGCATCTAGTTGGATCTCTTCCACCCCTTTATTTTGAATGTTTTCCATATATTTACCCAAAAACTCCTTATATAAATATAAATAAAATGAGTTCATGTATTGTTTACATCCCTTCTTAAGAATTTTACGTTGAAACTAAATATAAGTAGTTCAATCACTTTTGAAATAAAAGATCAATGTGTATTACTCTGCAAAAAGTTTTGAAAAGTACAGGTGTTCCGAAGTTGACAGTGGTTCGAGCATGTAAAATTCACTATGAATGACTCGATAAAACCAAATTGCTAAAGATTCCTAATAAGAGTTACAATAAATTGAAATGCCTCCTCAAAGTCAAAAATTCTCGCCAATGGAAAGGATGAATTAAGAAACTAAAATGAATGATAATCACTGATCATTACCGATAATGAAAAATTTCAAATGAAGAGCAAAGAGATGTGGGAATAATTATCCAAGAAGAAGATGTTAACAATGGTTGAGCACTCATTTATTTTTGAAGAAAGTATGAGCATATCCTGTAGAAGAGCTGTGTGGTGAAACTTATGAGCTGGGGGGAACTAATTATTATGCTAGTCCTAGAGCAAGACCAGTTCAAAGAAATATGCTTTAAAAAAAGAAAAAACCTTAAAAAGAATGAAAACATGCAGAAAAAATGCATGATTGCATACATTTTACGTATAAATAGGAGAATGGCATTCAAAAATGCATGATGAAAATACATGAGCATTTACAGGTCTTTCAGAAAAGGCTTAAAAATGATGATAATGGAACTTCAAGACAAAATTGACTAATTCAAAACCTCAAAAGAGAGGGGTTCAAAAGTCATCAATACCAAAATTTCAAGATATGATCTTCCTAAAGCGCAGTGAAGCATATCCCTTTTTCCATATCTGATATTCCTAAAAAGTAGTGAAGCATATCTCTTTTTCTATATCTGATCTTTTCAAGAGCAGCGAAACAAATCAACCGTGATTCAACTTTCCTTGAAGAGTAGTGAAGTGAATCAAAATTTCTAGATCTTACCTTCCTCAAGAGCAATGAAACATATCTCTTTTTCTAGATTTGATCTTCCTAAAGAGAAGTGAAGCATAACAACATGGATCCAACTTCCCTATAGAGTAAGGGAGTATATCGACTTTTAGAAATCCAACCCTACCAGACGAAATTGGTCCTTCTTTTGTCTTTTCTCTATTCTCGTAACATATTAATGAGAAAAGAGGGACATTTGTAATACCCATATTTAGTCTAGACCTTTATTTTAAGGCCCGGAAATTTTAAAACTAATCCAAAATAAATCATAAAAACTAAGAGTTCAGTCCATTATAACCAAAGCCCAAAGTAAAGCCCAAAAATAAACCCATTTACATTAAACCCTAATTAGCCCTCCAAGCCCACAACATTAACTCTATTGGCTAACCTACTCCTAGTCCAGCCGTCATCACCACCCCTCTCACTACTTTCAACAACTGCCGCCAGCCAATCTTCATCAAGCCATCATTGTTTGTAGTTGATCTAACAAAAAAATCAACCAAAAAAATAATAAAAAATCTAAAACAATCATAGGAATACCCATTAAAAATAGAAAAATCAAGATCTCAAAGCCCAACAAATTTGGAGCATTAATGAAAACGCATACCTTTACCTATCATAACCTCAATAACTGCCCCAATCGAATTCGATTGCAGCATGCCATCGTTTATTATTAAACATGCAACAAGAAACGAAAGGAGGGGGAGAAAACATGAAAAAAAAAAGCAGTGAACATTCGAACAAGAAAAAAGGAGAGAACTTTAGGGAGAAAAAGGAACTCGAAGAGAAAAAAAATAAAGGAAAAATAGATAAAATACACTATGGTAGATCTCTCTCTCGTATTTAGAATCTTTATTTAAAATAAAACAAACAAAGAAGAAAAGGGGATTTACCTTTCACCGTTGAGATGATTTTGGGGCAAACGAGGGTTTGGTTCGCTTCCCTCTTTAGTGCTTCACTCGTTAAGGATGTGGTGGAGGCGAGGAGGTCTTCGATGAATGACCATAGAAGGAGTGGCGCAAAGGAATTCTCTTGAAGCCCTAGAGTGATGTTGGAAAAAAGGTCTCCATCTTTTAATTTAAGTGGCTGCCAAGTAAAAAAAAAGGTTAAAACCCTAAAATATGCCTTATGTAAGACTTTTAAAAATGGTACCATTTAATACCTCCCAAAACCCCGTGTTTTCTATTAAGGTAAATTACCCATTAAGTCCTCCATATTTGTATCAATTGTGATGTAACCCCATTTATGTTAATGAAGTTCTTGATTTTTGGCCTTGAATTTATTCCTTATTACATTTTGATCATTACTTCGGTTATTGTTGTTTATTTGGTCTGTTTATATTTTTAGCATTTAATTTTCGTTAGTTTTAATTTAAATTTTGATTTTTTTTTTTGAAATTTTAACCTTATAATGTTGTTGTTTTCTAATTTTGTCTTTTAAGTTTATTTTTATTTTAGTGATGCTTAATGCTCCTTGCTTAATTTTAATTTCAGTATTTTATGTTACTTAGATTTTAATGCCTTTTTTTGTTGTTTTCGTTTATGATGTTTAATTCTTAGTGACTTAATTTATGCCTTTAATTATCCATATTGTCTATTTAGTCATCCATTTATGAAGTCTGTTTAAATTCTATAACTTACAATTTGGTCTTCCCATTTTGTTTTTGTTGCACTATATTTAGATTTAGATTTATACATTAAGGCCTCAATATGCTTGTTGTGTGTTCATCTTGGTCACCATATTATATGCCTATTTACTTTGCAATATATATATACGCCTATTCTATATTCATGTGTACATATTATTTTGCGTTATGTTATTTATAGATGTATGCATTTGTATATATTATATTTGGTACGTTATATATATATATATATATATATTATGTTTGAATTTTTACTTGATTTAAGTGTTACGAGTATCTTATAAGTTAATTTTTTATTATATTCATTAATTATCTTAAAATGTACGTGTACATATATATTGCATATCTTTCCTTTTTATACTAGGTATGTTACGAATATATGGCTGTAATAATCCTTCTCATTTTTACGTACATATTTATGAGCAAATTTAGTGTGTCATATAATTATTATTTTTTGTTGCATTAAATATTAATTTATAAATAATGTATATGTAGCACCCATAACCCTTATATGTGAATAAATACGAGTAATAGATGTCACATTAGAAATTCAAAACATTTCTTTACTTGAACTGAGTAAAATTTTGGTTTCATTCAAACATCACCGGTTTCATAACTTGAACAATTATTATAAAATAATTATTTAGAGAAAAATCGTAATATAATATTTTTGGTTACCAATTAAAAACCGGTTTCAAACAGTGATAGACAATTATTTTCTTTTTCATAAAATAAACAAGATTGTCTAACACATTTGATTTAAAACCCAAGTTATTTTTTTAGCATAGTTTAATATGATAATATTGATTCATACTGTTAATTCTATTTAATACTAACTATATTAAGAACTTGCAAACATTTCATTCTAGTATACATGCCAGCTATAACTTTTAGAACATAGTAGGATGTCATCATTGTTACCTGTAAATATTTTCTTGGTGATTGATGTCAAACTCAGCTCCTTACTCCTTTTCTTCATTTTTCCTACGCGTGAAAATCATCACACGCTAAGTATACGCTTGTGAGGAAATCATATAAATATTCAAAGCAATGCAACATATAAATATAAATGAGTAATAATATTCAATGCAATGTGATCACTTCACCTGCATTCTAACCATGTTACCATAAATTAACATGATATAATCGGATATAAAGTTTCTTACCAATATACTTGCCATTTATCCCATAAGATCGTAAGCTTAATTGCCTATTTAGCATTTATTAACCAATAACCATAGCCCAAAGTATAACTTTATGAGCACCCAGATATATGAGTCAAACATTGCACCATTGTGCTGAGGTCGAGCCTTGGTCACCTAATAATGCACCGTAGTGCTGAGGTCGGGCCATACCCACCTTATACACCGTAGTGTTTTGTACCATGTGTCTTCGCTAGACACTTTAGTGTTACCTAATAAGCAGATGCTATACTCTATGACATGCCTTTAATACCACTAACCCTCAATAACATACTTGGTCATATAGTCTATTTTTATTTGATCCATCCATGGTAAAGTATATTATCATAATTTAACGTTGGGCAGTTCATACCCGAAATATCATTCATGTTAAATATCATAAACGTTCATGATAAACATCATATGTAACGATCAATAATCAATCCATTTTATATTTAACCTTTGACATATTTAGAATATGTCAAATATATGATATATGACATAAATATCATGCCAATATAAGCAAGGTAGACTTATCACAAGTCATACCCAATGATGTATAAAACATCCATGTATAATGTTATGTATGCATTGCACTCACTTTGACATTATATATAAGTCAAAATATAAGCCAAAGCTTAAAGTTGATCATTTGCTTCTAATTCGGTTAAATCCAAAAATTTGTCATAATTTCATATTATGGCAGTTTACACTATCTTTAAAGAAATATTATTATGTATTAATATACACCTTTAAAAATTATTTCATTTATACCACTGGAAACTATACTAAAATACAAATCTATCCATATAAGGCACTCTTTCTAGTTCATTTGTACAATTTATGGTAAATTTTTAAAGTTAACTACAAAATATGTTTTGAGCAGAACATGCTGCCCATTTTCTGACCTATCCTCGGTTAAAAATTCATATATTTTTTATATAACTCAAAATCAGTTTCAATTTGTTCTAAAACCACTAGACTGATGTAAAAATCAAAGGAATACAAATCATTCTCTAATCATATTTTAAAATTTATGGCAATTTTCTAAACTTACTATTTATAACATAAATTCTAAGCAGGTTTCACCAATTTGCATTTTCAACTTGTTCACTAATTCTATTAGTGAAATGCACATATATGCATGCATAACAAATCACATAACATTTTAGGAGTCAGTCCTTACGATAGTAACTTCTTCACTGGCTTATCGTAAGACAATCTTTGTTCAATAACATATGTACAAATTAAATTTGCATTCACCTGGTGTCCTTAGCTTGCAACATTCCTCAGAATTTTCCATTTCATCCTTAAGCTTTTCCTTAGCTTTAATACTTTGGAAAATAAATTCCTAACAAATTTTCCAATGATTATTCGATACAATTTCCATGTCACAACATAAATGTTGACCTTAATACTTCTAATTGAACACTCAAGTTCCTTTTTATCTCAAATTCAATTACTATTTTCACTTAAGCTTCCAAACTTTCCATATTTGTGATTTAAACCTCAAATTTTACAAGCTTTCCAAAATAATCAAAATTTCACATTATAACTTCAATTTCAAAACTCAAACATTATTTTCCATCATATTACATCAACTATTTAATAATTACACAATAATACACAACTTTTCCAAAATTGTCGATTAGGTACCCCAACTTTCATAAAATTAAAAAATGGTCCCCAAATTTTTTTTAAGGCTTGTAGAATACTTCCCACATCATTTCCAACCCCTACATAATTTTTCCATATTTGTTATTATTTTTTATAGTCAAGGTTGAATGCTTTGTATGTTTAAGATTAGAGTTTTCATGATTTTACTTGATTTTAATTAGATCCAAGCATCAAATCAACTTCGATTCAACCTTATAAAATCTCTACAATCAAAACGCTGACTTAATTTCATCAAAACACATCTTTCTCCCAAGATTAGGGTTAGGCCGAAACTTCATATGTTCATATGATCATGTACAAGTGATTTTAATTATCAACCATGCTTGGAATTGATTCTACAACCTCAACAACATCAAAATCCTTCATAAATTCCATAAACCCTAATGTGAACATAAACCCTAGAATTTGGGATATTTGAACACAAACTAAATTAGCAAAAAATAATTGTACCAAATGATAACGTTTTTTGAATAAAACAATTTTCTATTTCACGATATGATCCAAAATCCAAAGGAAAATGCTCAAAAATGAAAAATAAAAATTCTCTTACCTTGTTCATGGGGAGCATAAAATTTTGGTTGTGGCTAAGTTTTCATTAAATTTCTAATGAATTTCATGTCAATTTAACCTTATTTAAGCTTAAATGAATAAAATAGTCATTTAATGAGAAAAGTCCATTTTTCCATTAATGAAACTTAATATTTACAATAATACCAAGGCACATAACCTTATCATCTTTCCAAAGTCAAAGATGAACAAAATATTTTACCCTTTTCCAGTTTTACCAAGCAACTTTCCAAAAATTGTAATCTTGCCACTTTGATCCAACAATCCAAATTAAACATGTAAATAAATATTCAAATCCAATGATCCATATTATTTTCCATCATTTTAAAATATGGAAATAATATTTATAAGCTTAATTTATCATCCTTCAATTTTTTTTCAAAATTTCAATTTGATACTATCTACTAAACTTTTACCGGATTTTAACACTTTCTGGTTTTTAACACAATTTCCAAATAAAGAATATGATTTCAATAAAACCCCAATCTCAAGATTAAACTATCAGTTTATTGAATAATTTTTTTGGGAAAATTATCGATTAGGTCCCTAAATGTTTCTCAATTTTCTACTTTGGACACTAAACTTTCAAAATTTATATTTTGGTCACTAACCAAAATTTTGTGGTATTACAATTCTTCCCCATTAAGAAAATTCATCAGAGAATTTTTAATACGTACTTGATGTAAATAAAAAAGGATATTGCTTTTTCATATCCTAAATTTTTCCGATAAACTTTTTCAACCTTTGATTTCTCTGTCGAACTTTAATAAGTACTGATTCTTTTTCATAAGTTAAATATGGAAGAATCTCTATTTCCTCTGGGGTTATAATATGTGATGGATATGATTGATACTTCCTAAGCATCGACACATGAAAAACATTATGGATATTTTCCATTTCCGGAGGCACTTCTAGTTGATAAGTCACTGATCCAACTTTCTTTCTTTCATTTTTTATAATTT